TCAAGATGGTGGATTAGTACTGTTGGAAAATAATAAAGCTTGTAAGATTGCAGGTATTGAATTTGTAAGATTCAAGCTCCATGATGAGTCAATAAGGCTATTGACTGAGGTTAGGTATGTGCCTGACCTTAAGAGGAATTTAATTTCTCTTGGTGAATTCGACAAGAAAGGATATGTCTTCAAAGGAGAGCAAGTTATCCTGAAAGTCATGAAAGAGTCGAAAGAAGTCTTGAGAGGCATGAAGAAACAAGGCTTGTATACCTTTGAGGCTGAGGTTGTAAGTGGTTCGACAAATGTTGCATCCACGAAATCTGTGTCGAAGACAGAACTATGGCACTTGAGATTTGGCCATGTCAACGAAAGAGGCCTGGTCGAATTGGGGAAGCAGAACCTGCTAGGTGGTGACAAAGTCGAAAAGTTAGAGTTTTGTGAATCTTGTGTATTTGGTAAATCCTGTAGGGAGAAGTTTAACAAAGACAAATAAAGAACACATGGATCCCTTGTTTATATTCATGCTGATCTTTGGGGGCCTGCAAGGAATCCTTCACACTCAGGTGCAAGGTATTTTCTATCCATCATTGATGACTATTCCAGAAATTTATGGGTATTCATTCAGAAGACAAAGGATGAAACTTTTGAGAATTTCAAAAGTTGGAAGGTTCTGGTCAAAACTCAAACTGGAAGAAAGGTCAAGAGGTTGAGAATCGACAAAGGCCTTGAGTTTTGCAATGAAACGTTCAATAGTTACTGTGTTGAGTCTGGGATTGCAAGGCATAAGACTGTAACAGGTACTCCTCAATAAAATGGCTTAGATGAGAGATTCAATTGAACAATTCTTGAAAGGGTTAGATGCATGTTGGTTAGTGCTAGATTGAAGAAGGTGTTTTGGGCTGAGGTTGTTTCGACAACAGCTTATTTGATAAATAGATGTCATTCGACTGCTTTAGGGATGAAGACACCTGAAGAAGTTTGGTCGGGTCAGCCACCAAATCTCGACAAATTGAGAGTATTTGACTGTTTAGCCTATGCTCACAGTAGACAAGGCAAGATCGAACATAGAGCTCTGAGATGCATGTTCCTTGGATATCTTGAGGGAGTCAAAGGTTATAGGCTGTGGTGCTTAGAACTAGGTCACAGAAGATGTATCACAAGTCGTGATATAGTTTTCAATGAAGTCGATATGGTGTTCAAGAAAACTGGTGATGCTAGTCGAAGTGCAGAAATCTATAAAGAGGAGCTGGAACAGGTAGAGATGCCTGTTAAGGTGAAGCATAATTATGTTGAAGTGCATAACCCAGATGAAGTCGAAGAAAAAGAGCAAGATGCTGAAGAGGCTGAGGAAATTGTCGATGACTACCTACTGGAAAGAGATAGGTCGAGAAGAGTCATCAAGCCACCTCAGAGACTTGGTTATGCAAATCTTATAGCTTTTTCCTTAATCTCTGTAAGTGAGGTACTTGAGGAAGAACCTAGAGATTACAAGGAATATGAGGAGTCGAAATAAGACTGAATGGCGAAAAGTCATGGACGACGAGATGAAATCTCTTCATGATAATATCACTTGGGAGCTGATTGAGAAACCTGCAAGGGCTAGGTTAGTCAGCTGTAAGTGGATTTTCAATATCAAGGAAGGAATTGAATGAGTGATGTCAAAGTGCTTTAAGGAAAGATTGGTTGGTAGGGGGTTCACTCAGAAAGAAGGTGTCGACTTCAATGATGTGTTATCACTTGTTGTAAATCATATATCCATTAGAATATTGTTGTCCATGGTGGCGAAGTTTAACTTGGAACTTGAGTAAATGGATGTGAAGACATCATTTCTATATGGTGACCTAGACAAAACGATCCTGATGCGTCAACCTGAAGGGTATGCAGAAAAGGATATGGAAGATTATGTATGCAAGCTGAATAGGTTTTTGTATGGCCTGAAACAATTTCCTCGACAATGGAACAGGAGATTCAACAAGTTCATGACACACATTGGCCTCACTAGGAGCCAGTTTGATCACTATGTGTACTTCATATTTCAACCTGAAAATTCACTTGTTATTTTGTTGCTTTATGTGGATGATATCCTCATAGCCAGCAATAATGTTGAGGATGTAATAGAGGTGAAGGCTGAACTCAACAAAGAGTTTGAAATGAAGGACCTGGGAGCTGCCACCAGGATTCTTAGGATTGACATCCAGAGAGATAGAAAGCAGTCAAAGTTGTGCTTATCTCAAGAGACATACCTATGGAAGCTTCTCGATAAGTTTGGTATGTCGAATTCAAAGCCTGTTGTGACTCCAACAAATCCTCAGTTTAAGTTTAATACTACTCAAAGTTCGAGTACTGAAGCTGAAAGAATCTATATAAGTATCATTCCATATGCTAGTGTGGTAGGTTCTTTGATGTATGCTATGGTCTGTACGAGGCCAGACATAGCGTATGCTGTGAGCCTTGTAAGCAGGTATATGGCCAGTCCTGGAAAGATGCACTGACAAGCTGTAAAGTGGATTCTTAGGTACATAAATGGGCCTCTAAAAAGAGTCTTGATTTACGGTGGAGCTTGTGGTGGTGATAACATATTCGAAATTGAAGGATTTGTCGACTCTGATTGTGCAGGTTGTATGGATTCCAGAAAGTCTATTTCTAGATATGTGTTCACTATGTTTGACACAACAATCAGTTGGAAAGGAACGCTTCAGATGGTTATTGCCTTATCAACTACTGAAGCAGAATATATTGCCCTCACTGAAGCTGTGAAAGAAGCATTGTGGCTTGAAGGTTTTGCAAAGGAGCTGAAACTTCAAGGTCTAAGTATCTTTGTTAAATGTGATAGCCAAAGTGTAATACACTTGTCGAAGAATTCAGCCTATCATGAGCGAACTAAGCATATCGATGTGAGGCTGCACTTCGTCAGGGAGATAATCGAGCGTGGTGAAGTCCAGGTGCTGAAGGTTTCAACTGAAGATAATGCTGCTAATATGATCACTAAGACGTTGCCCAGTTGCAAGTTTTTCCATTTTATGCAGTTGATAAAGCTGCATGATGAAAGCTAGTTGATTCCCTGTTTGTTGAGTTAGATCCAAGGTGGAGATTTGTGAGATTTTGGGTCGAACTCAAGCTTTGTCGAGAAATAACTTTCATTTATTTCGACAGAAGACAATCATGAAGTCGAAGATGGGTCGCATGTTGTGGTTGAAGGATACATATTGTAGTCGAAGTTTGTTATAATATGTATTGTCGAAATGTTTATCGAATTGAGCATTTTGTTATGGATCTAATTGTTTAGTTAGCTTGGGTTGTAAGTTATATAGTTAGTTTATATATAGGCTAGATCACTCAGGTTGTTGAGTGAGGTCAATTGTGATATTCATTTGTAATTATTTGTAATCATTTGTAAACCCTTATGAGAAAGTGAACAGTAAACAATTTGACCTAATCCTTCTTCTTCATTCTTCTTTATCCTTTCTTTTTTTTCTTTGTTCTAACTGATTTCATTATTCACACAAGAACTTCATTTCTCAATCTTGATTTGTTGAAAGGTATCGTTTGTGATCACGACATAATTCATAAGAATAGATCATCAATACTATAATTAAACTTAACATTAGAGGTGTAATCGATTCGGTTTGAACTGATTTTTGGTCAAAAAATTATCCAAATCGATGATATTTTCATCAACTTGATTTGGTTCGATTTTATGTGTGTTTTAAAAATGTAATCAAATCAAACTAACCGATTTGGTTTGCCTTGGTTAATCAGTTTACAACATGTTTTTTTTCCAAATATTATATTCATCTGTGTATTCTCTACTATCATGTTTTTTCTGTGCATTTTATACTATTTTTTTTTTTTCCAAATAATACATTTCATATAATATATTTCATACTATAGTTTTTAAATAACTTATAAGTTGTTCAATCCATACGAAGCATTAACATGATTTTCACTACATCATAAAAAAAGTTCATTCTCAAATACAAAAGTTGTCACTTGACTTGAGATGATTGGTAAGAGATTTGAAAGCTTAACAAATAAAATAAAAAATAATAACAAAAGGTTTCAATGCGCATAATATGTTTCACACCTCAAGTAAACATCAAAACTATTTTGTAAAAAGAATAGAAGGAAACTCATTAAAGAAGAACAAACAAAAAAATGTATATAAAAAGATGAAAACTAATGAAGAGAACTTGAATACGAATAAGATAACTATAACCTATAAGAATGACGATGACAAGAGAAACAACGGTGGAAGGAAGTCAGAGCAACAATTTGATGAGAGGAAAATTTTATAACTTATGGAATTTTGATTGCATTATTTGTTGAAAGAAATGAAATGTAAATAAAGATAGAGTATATTTAGACCAATATAAAATTTGGACGTTACATAAAATATTAAGCAGGTATTTATAATCATCGGTTTACCATTTTCTAAAATCTAAAATCAAGAACCGAAACCAAACAACCTCGATTTTTGTTGATTTGGTTCAGTTTTTAAACCGAAACAAAACAATCAAATTTTTTGATTTGATTTAATTTAAATTGTCAGTTTAATTGATTTTTTATCCACTTACACCCCTATTAAAAATATATTAATAACTATTTAAAATAAATTAATAAGAATAGTTAGTCATAATGTAAGAAGATTGAATTCTTTATCAAAATTCAAATAAAGTATTTATAGTTGTTTTCTTATCATTCTTATTTTACAAAAATAATACAAAAAAGAAAGCTGTATTATTACCAAGTACAAACGAAACTTGGTTGTCTTTAATAAAAAAAGCGTCATAATTTTACTTCAATAAATTTTCTTACAAATGTCAAAGGACAATTTCGTAAATAGATCCTTACACAAGGTTCAATTATAGCATCAAAAGCTCTCAACTCAAAAGAGAATCAAACTTCACTTCCTTTTTCTTCTCACACCACACACCACCACCTTTACTTCCACCTTACACAAAACCAACCCCCTTTCTCCCATCACACCTCCCCAAACCGCTTTTCAATCCATGCCGAGCCACGAAATAAATCAACACCGGTCCAGAGCCCGCCCGCCCACGTCATCAACCCGTCCACAGCAACCGGTCCAACCCCGAATCCCCTTACGGAAGCTACTCCGAGTCGCATCAGTAGCAAGCGGAATTCAATTCGGTTGGGCTTTACAGCTCTCACTATTAACCCCCTACGTTCAACAACTCGGCATTCCTCATAAATGGGCGAGCATCATCTGGCTCTGCGGACCGGTTTCCGGTTTATTCGTCCAGCCTTTGGTTGGACATCTAAGCGACCGGTGTGCGAGCCGCTTCGGTCGCCGTAGACCGTTTATTCTAGTTGGTGCGACTTCGATCGTCGTTGCGGTTGTTATAATCGGTTACGCTGCGGATATCGGTTGGTTGATTGGGGATGATGTTAGCCAGAGTTATCGTCCTTTTGCGATTGGAGTTTTCATTTTCGGGTTTTGGATTCTTGATGTTGCTAATAATGTTACGCAAGGTCCTTGTAGAGCTTTGCTCGCGGATCTTACCAGTAAGTTCTTTTTTCTGATCCCTAATTTGATTTTTCTTGGTTCATCATGATGCTTAATTTGGTGATTCCATTGTTGACTTTGATGACTCTCTAATATTTGTTTTATTTTAATTTTTGACTCGGAAGAATTATTGGTGATCTGATTTTACCTAATTGGGATTAGGTAGGTAATTATTGGTTAAAAAAATGCAATGATTTAGCAAAAATAAAAAGGAAATTCTTTTACTACTGAATTTTGTTGGTTATTGATTTCATGTATTAAAATATAAAATTATTGAGTTTAATGGAGATGTATAAGTTAAAAAAACGTTTAATACCGTCATGTGAATATATTATTCTGACATAAGTGAATATAAAAAAGGTGGCATTATATTATCATTAAGTTATCGTTTATGGCCAACAAAACTATAGGGCCGGAATATTGACACAATAAATAAATAATAATGCCACGTGTCAAAGGATACGGCTAACATTTGCAAGATTTGTTGAGGGGTTGTTTTGAAAATTTGGACCGAAGTGTGGGATACCATATGATTTTTTTTTTTTTTTTTTACTTTAGCTATGGCCTAGCATTTTGGTAGAAATATAATTGACATTCTATTGTTTTTAAAAAAAGCATACAATTATTTAGTTCAAGAGTCTCTTACTTTTTGTTAATATGTAAAATTAACACAAATTATCTTTTAACATTAATTTTCATATTTTCTGATTGATTTTAATTGGCATCTATTATTTTATTTTAATAGATAGAGAGGGGAGTTTATTGAAAGCTAAATTTAATCACTTAATAATCCTGTGTGTTATCATTGGAATGAGTCTATTTCTTCTATATATGTTATGACTCGGCTGGAACGATCGAGATAATGAAATTTGATTCGGAACTATACCGCTTTGACGTTTTGTTGAATTTTATTGGCATTTGGAAGCATGTTTTGCTTAAGACTTCTGATTTTTATTAGTAAATATGAATACTTTATAACAATTATGTGTTTATTAGTATTAACTGGATTAGTGTCGGCGTTACTTAAAATCTTCTGTGGATTAGTGTCGGCGTTACTTAAAAATCTTCTGTGGATTAGTGTCGGCGTTACTTAAATATCTTCTGTGGATTAGTGTTGGCGTTACTTAAATATCTTCCGTTCGGCTCCTTGTTCCCGTTCCCTTTTTGGGGATGGCTCATGGCTGTGCCGCGCCACTGTCTGAGATTGATAACATACCTTCAATCTATATTTATCCTCAAGATTTTCATCTGAAACGAAAGTAAGTCATGTGAAATCTGATACAATTAAAGGAAAGAAATCCAGCGTGAAAATATCTTAGAGGAAGTGAGGAAAAACATAGATTATACAAAATTTCGTCAATCCAATGTGATTTGGACCCAGGTCTAAAAATCATTGAAGTCTATGAAAAGGTCCAAAAGAGTGTAGGACTTGTTGATTCAAGGAGGTGCGGTGCATCATGCACAAGGTCAGAATTACGCAGGGATGTTCTTACTGACTGCCTAAATGGTAGAAGTGAGATCAGGGAAAAGCAGGTGTACGGTTTGTGAAATATATTGATATATAAGCAAAAAGGGTAAAGAGTAGAGTAGTTAGAATTACTTAAGGCTTAGGTTATTATTGGGCACTTTTGGATCTGCCCAACCCATTGTATTTATTTCTTTATGCATTTCTTTCTTCTATATTTTCTGGCACCTATCAATTGGTAACAAAGCTTTCAACCATAGGAGCTTGAATGATGAATATGAGAATGATTGATGGAGTCCTTAGTTGAGACTTTGGATTCAGGAACTGAGAACTCAAAGTTGGCTACGGTGCTTTTGCAAGGGAAAACTCGAACTTGCACTCGAGGTCGGCCTTGACGTTGATGAACTGTGGGGTGAGGTTTGTGGAGGACGAGAGCTATGGAAGCCAAACTTAGGGGTTACATTCAGATGAATGGAGGAAGATTAACCTCTGTTATATGATGTCAGAGGAAGGAAGCTCGATATTTGGGTATAACCCTTCGGATCTTTGTGGAGCAGCAAGGTGGTTGTGTGTAGGGGGGAAATCCAGACAGAACTGAAATTGCCCGTCTATGAATCTTGGCATGAGTTACGGGATCAAGCATTCCTGCTGGAAGCCATGGATTCTGACTTGTGAAGCATGAAAGGGGTAAATATTTCTTGTATGGGTCTAGATGAATTAGTGCAAGCTGGAAACCTATTTACAGCCATGAGCCTGAGCCAACTCGTTGCTAGGGCAAGCAAGTTAAAAAATCTGTCAAGGCCCATTTTCTCAATACCCACTTCAGTATTTTGTTCTATGATAGATAGTTCTCAAAGAAAGGTGTTATGGAAGTAGGGAAGGTACAATTGTCAAGGGAAGCAGATTCCACGCTACCCTGTGTCGCTCTCATGGTGTTTTCAGGTTTCATCTTCTGCCAACCAGTATCTCCATCAGATTGTTCTTATTCTTCAGCCTTGCCATTTTGTTATGCATTCATTCAGCTGTTAGCACGTTCATCTTCTTCGTTAGCCTGCATTCTTTCTGTCATTCTGACTTCCCTCGCGTGTTCTTTAGGACACGTATCTGTATTTCGACTTTGTTGCGTTGTCGTTATTATAACCGGAATCTGCCATGGAGGGTTATCTCTGCTGCAAACTGTAATAAGGTTATCTCTGCAAAAGTGCCTAAGCCTTCCAAGGGCAAAGAAAATAATGTCTTTGAGCCGATGCAGCAATGGAGGGTCAAGGATCGTGGAGTGCAAACCTTCCTTCTTGCTAATGTTAATTTGGGTGATGCACAAAATTGTGATGCTCAAAATGATGTCACAATTTTGCGAGAAGATCTCCGAAGAGAGTAAATATAATGCATCCGCTACCACCTACCTGATCAGGCACTAAAAGTAAAATTTCACCACAAAACTCTCGTACCTTTAATTCTTTCTTGACCATTTGGCAAATACTAGAGAGTAGAGACATCTTAGTAAAGGTGTTTGGGTACTGATGATTATACTTTCGCTGACAAAACCACATTATGAAGTGCCTTGCTCTCCTCTTGCAAATAGTGTAGATGAAAGAGTCTCCTCTTTAAGGAAAAAATCAGCCAAATTCTACAAAGTCTGAAGTTATTTCTGATAGTCATGAACATATTGTTCCAGAGCAAGAGGTGCCTAATCTAGGTAATGTAATTGCCGCAACAAAGTTTTTGATTTCAGTATTTGTTGATGCTGAAAATTCAAATCTCAATGTAATTCACGATATGGAAATTCTTGCCAAGTTTTTGGAAGGTGGGAATAAAGTCGATTCAGACAATGACATAATCTCTCACCTGAGGATGTTACCTTACCACTTAAGATAAGTTTATTTTGGTTTCATCTAGATCACAAAAGTATAAACTAAGGGAATATATAAAACTTTCTCTAAAAGTAAAGCATTACAACTCTAAGGCTAGGGGTGATCTTAAATTTATTTAGCATTTAGCTTGTTTTGTTTATGTCCCCCTAGATTTCTTTTCATCCTGTATTTTTATCTATTTCTAGCTTATTGAAAAATCAAAGATGGTGTTATATTAAGGAGTTATACAAACAAACAATGGTGATCCAAATTAAAGCACATTAAATGTATTGTTTTTATGTTGATCATTCAGGCTTACTTATTATGCAAATGAAGTGATTAATTTGGGAAAAAAAAGACATTGATGCCCCTCTTCTTTCTTTTACTAATCTTTTTCTTGTAAATGTTAGGAAATGATGCTCGAAGGACACGTGTTGCAAATGCTTATTTCTCCCTGTTTATGGCCGTTGGTAACATTCTTGGCTATGCAACTGGGTCATACAGTGGCTGGTACAAGATTTTTACTTTCACAGTTACCCCTGCTTGCTCTATCAGTTGTGCAAATCTCAAGTCTGCTTTCTTTCTCGACATTGCTTTCATTGCGGTAACGACATATCTCAGCATAATGTCAGCTAATGAAGTGCCTCTAAGTTCAAGTGGGGAAGCACATGCTGGAGAAGGGGCTGGAGAGTCAGGTGGTGCGGAAGAAGCTTTCATGTGGGAATTGTTTGGGACATTCAAATATTTTTCAATGCCTATCTGGATAGTTCTGTCTGTAACTGCTCTAACATGGGTTGGGTGGTTCCCATTTACTCTATTTGATACTGATTGGATGGGTCGGGAAATTTACGGTGGTGATCCAAATGGAGGCCTTGTTTATGATTCTGGAGTTAGAATGGGAGCACTTGGTTTGTTGCTTAATTCAGTTGTTCTTGGAGTAACATCATTGCTCATGGAAAGACTATGCAGGAAGCGAGGGGCTGGTTTTGTGTGGGGACTCTCAAATATCTTTATGACTATTTGCTTTATTTCAATGTTAGTATTAACCTATGCGGCAAAAAGCATTGGCTACGTAGAAAAAGGTCTACCACCACCAACAGGCATTGTGATCGCAGCGTTAGCAATCTTTACCATTCTTGGGTTTCCCCTGGCAGTAAGTTACTCTGATCTACGCCAAATGTAGATTGTTCATTTTCTGTCCATATAAAAGGAAGCTTTTATGTCTCTATGCCTCTATGCCCATTGAAATAGAATCTCAAATTCTATTTTTCAATTCTTTTTTGAAATTATATTGGCCAAATACACGTGACTTATGTTAATTAACGTGTACATGGCTGCATAATCTCCTCGACTCAAACTGAATTGTCTTCTTTAACTTTCTTTTTAGGTACAATTCTCGTGATAAATTTTTATGAGTATAACACGAAATGCCTATATGGAAAATGAGTTGAAATGATATAGTCTATTTCATTAATTTCGCTTTATTCATGTTATTTACTTAAAAATGCAGATCACTTACAGTGTTCCATATGCCTTAATTTCCACACATATCGAACCACTGGGACTTGGCCAAGGTGGGTTTCTATTAATGTCCTTCTTTATTCTTCATCGAAGATATGACTACAAGACTAATTATTTGGATTCTTGGTACTTACAGGGTTATCAATGGGTGTCCTGAATCTGGCAATAGTGGTCCCACAGGTATTTCTTCTTTTGAATTCCTTTTATGTTATATAGGCTAGAGTTGAACTATTCTTATTTTGTTGTTTGCATAAACCTAGTGGAAGTACAATCTTATTAGATTTCTATTTGAATACAGTCAACTTGTATAATTTAAAGGAAAATGCTAACAAATGCCACAGGGCGTTGTTTAAGGAATTAAAAGAGGAAAATTTTGAATTTGTGAGATGAGGACTACTGCCATTTATAAATACATATTTAGGCCATATTTCATCAAATATGAAACTCTTAACACCCCCTTCATGCCTAGGACAGGACATCTAGAGCGTGACTTGAGTGGTCCGTTAGCAGAAACATGATATCAGGAGACCTAGAGAGAAAGTAAAAGAGTTTGAGAAGTGTATGCTGAAACCTTGTGTCTTAATAGCATCACGGAAATTTTGGTATATATGCATTATACTGCTATGAGCATTAATGACAAAGGAATATGCTACGTATTTCTTTTTCATTCATGTATATACTTGGAATAGTTTGAAAATATACTCCTCACTAAGACTATTCATGGTTCGGCTCAAGCAGGAAAAATGAATCGTCACAACAGTTAGGTTTAGGTTTTGGTAAAACTAAACCAAACTGATATACAAGTTTGGTGCACCCGTTCTGTGGTTCTGAATCAAACAAAAAACACCTTTGCTAAAAATTGAACTGATTCCTTGTGAATGGAACTGTACCAAATTACTATTATTAATTGATAATTAAACATTTGAGGGAAAAAAAATCAAAAACCAAACTAAATTGGACATTATGACAGTTTAAAAAAAAAACCAAACTGCACTGAAAAGAACCGAACTGTGACGGATAGTGCACAAAATGAATCAAACTTAACCAAACTAGTTCAGTAATGGTTTGATTTTTTTGATTTTTTGCATAGTACCTAGTCCTAACCTTAACCTCACTCACTTATCTTAACCTATACTAACTATAACTAACTTTCGGAGTTAGCTACAGCTGTACAAACAGTTAAGTACCAGGTGTCAAACTTAAAGATTACATGCCAATTATTAGTGTAACCTAAATACCCCTAAAGCATTAAAGTAATGTGTTTATAGTGTAACCTGCGGCGCTTGGATTTGTCTGGGACGCCTAGTGCTAGCCAAAATGCAAGAACAACTCAGAAAGATAGCGCCTAGCACTGGGTATGTCACGCTAGGTGCTAGATGGTACACATACACCTTCTGTAGGCGCCCAACACTGGTCGGGGTGCTCGCCACCCTTCTGCACTTATTGCTTCATGTTGTTATGTATATTGGACCTTTTGAGAGCTTTAGCTTTCTTATGAAACACATTTTATTAAGATATTGGGTTTGGGCCATAGTCCAATAATACTGAATTGGTTGAAATGCGTATGGACCAATCTGTTAGAGGGTGTTAAAAGTTCCACATTAGACAATATATGACTTGAAAATGTATAAGTGGAGACAATCCTCACCTTAGGAGCCGTATCTCTTAAGTATCGTGAGACTAAATCCACCCCTTCACAATCAACACAATTAAGGTATTGGAGGGTGCAATGAATGAAGGCAACCCAAATGCGACAATTAATCATATCTCTACGCCTCTGTCCAATAATAATGAATTGGTTAAAACTGCCTACGGACCAATCTGATAGAGGGGAATGATAGTTATAAAATGACATGGATAACTTGGTGGAATTCATTCAACTCCATTGGATATGAACAGAACACCATGAAAAGGTCAAGCTGTCAGGTACAAGTTACAACATGCTGTCAACTTGTAGCAGAAATCAACCGGGTTGCAATGAATGAAGGCAACCCAAATGCCGCAACTACGTCATTAGGGGCGGACCACTATGAAGGTGGAATTTCCAACCTAGGGAAATGCTAGTTATATAAGGACATGGGTTTGGGTCTTAGTCCAATAATATTAAATTGGTTTGAACTGCTTACGGACAAAGAGGGGAATGTTAGTTATACAAGGACATGGGTTTGAGTCTCAGTCCAATAATACTGAATTGGTTAAAACTAATTACAGACCAATGCGTGAGAGGGGAATGATATTATCAAAGAACATGGATAACTAGCAGGAATTCATTCAGTATCCTGTCAGGTTTCAACTCCATTGGACCCCTTATAGCTCCAGACATGAACAAAACACCATGAAAAAATCAAGCTATCAGGTACAAGTTAACACTATGTTGTCAACTTGTAGCAGAAATTCCACCAACTTAGAGATTGATTCAAGTCTTGACTTTCGTCATAAAATAGCACATAATTCTTATATCTTTCTAACACGACCTAGATCATTAAATTTGGACGTGTGTAGCTATCTATGACCTTAGCATGCTTCTGCGTCAATGTTGGAAATTACGAAATCCACACCAAATTCTAGACTCATCATTACCCAAGAACTATTCTCAAACATGTAGTATAAGTGGAATTTTGTGTACTTCATTGTTTTGATTTGGTCAAATTTTTGTTGCATTCAAAATTTCATTGCAAAACAAAAAAGTTGTCCATTTTTATTTGATAACACAGAAGAAGTATCAATAGATAGAGAAGATGATAGGCACCTTATGCAGTAACAGAGAATAAAGATTAAAAAAGAAAGAGCTGTTAGAAATAGTTGATGCAAGAATCTCAACATATAGTATTGCCAACTAGAGTGTCTGTATGGTGTAAATTGGCTCCCATCAGTTGTCTATGGCGGAGGCCGGAGAACCTAAATCCCACCATACCAGCCGCTTGGTGGCGCTGTCATTGCGGATTATGGTGGAAAAACTTGCAATAGCGGCTAATATTTACCATTGCGGCGAGCCCAAATACCGCCACATATATCCGCCATAGTGCTGCCATGGCTGATATTCAGTAACACTGCTCCCAACACACGAAAGCATACTAAAATTTACTTTTACTAGTCTTAAGTGGGGTGTTTATAAAGTTGCAGTACTAGTTGAAATAAAACAAATCTACATACAGGATCTAAATCTAAGGGTGAGTTTGTAACAAAGTCTGCCTCAATTTTAGGAAGCTTCCATAGAATTGATTTGTAGACTTGTATAAAAGCTTACCTAGTACCAAAAACAATACTAAAAAACATATAAAAGACTTACATACATAATAGATAATATAATACCATGTACACAATACAACAAAGAAGTGGAGAACAACTTTTCTGTGAAATGGTGATTCAGATTAAATGGTGAAACTGAAAGAGTGAAGTGTTAAATGGTGATTCATTTTAAATGGTGAAACTGAAAGAATGAAATGTTAAATTGAGATTTGAATTAGAAGGTGAAATTAAAAGAATAAAATGATAGTATAAAGAAGAAAATGTTAATGTTGAAACCAAAAACCAAAGTTGACGATATTCAGTCTCACAACATCTTGCTCTGTTGAGAGATTGGATCTAAGTGATTTTCAATAGATGGAAGGAGATTTGTTAGAACTGTGACAACATCGCCTAGTCATTGTGGTGTAAAACAAGAATAGTAAACCGACATTGTCAAAGATCCAATTCAATTAAATAAATAGTGAACCAAATGAAATCCAACAAAATTTGGGTGAATTTTCGCGCACACACAGCTAACAAATTGGGTTTTGAAATCAAGATGATTCTTGTTTGATAATTCCTAAAACAAGGTGTTGTTTATATGTCAATTCAGTTCGTGTTGTTTATTGTTGCAAGGTATTAAATGTAATTCCAAGCTAATGATGGTTCATGTTTTATAGAGGAATACTTTGTAAAAAGAGTGTAGTTTTGAGCAGGATTTGAGTTTTTTGAGTTACTAAGTTACATATTTATCATGTTTTGAACAGATCATAGTGTCCTTGGGAAGTGGACCATGGGATCAGTTATTCGGTGGAGGAAACTCTCCAGCCTTTGCTGTGGCAGCGGTTGCAGCCCTTTTCAGTGGACTCTTAGCTTTGTTAGCTATTCCCCGAACTGGTACACAAAAGCCTAGAATTCGTGTATGAGGTATCATATGCTGTTTTCTTTTGGCACTTATTTATTTCGAAGAGGGACAGTGAAAATGAACAGGTCGAAAAAATTTGTAAATAGTTATTGTTTCTGTTGCCTTATTCTTGAGTTTTCCTCTCCTCAAGATTTCAACCTCCCCCTCATTTCTCATGAATTATTGAAACATCGGCTGTGTTGTTATCTTATTGGTCAATATTAAAACCAACAGCCTGATTTTTTTGGGTTACTATTTTCTGATGCGAAGAATGCTTCGGTAACCATTTTTTGTCGAAATCTCAATAATTTGAGTAGTCTGTTTAAAATATAGAGGTTGGCTTGCTGTAAGGAAGGGACAACAATACTCTTCTTTCTTGATGTGTAAGTAACAATATAAAACAAGAAATTCATATATAGTAATTGGTTTTCCCAAATGTCTGTAATTTCGTATGTAATCAATATAGTTGTCAATAAATTCTTATTAACATTGCGTGCAATCAAAGAAGATATTCGACATTGTAAACCAGTTTTGCCTGTGTTAAATGTTTTTATTAAATCTAGATGTCGCGGGAATGTATGCCCCCGGGATCTTGCATATGTTCCAAAGTTAATGTTAACGCCATCTATTCCCACCAAAATGATTTACATCTAAGTTGGGAATCATGCCACATGAAATATTTATTTATTTCGAGGCAATGCGGATTGTTCATTAGTGCTCCAATCATGATGGTTTGGTTTGGAATCTGATTCATTTCTGTGATGTGCTTGTATTTGTGGAATGAATTTTTCAGTGACCAACAGTGTCTGTGTTATGCTGATGTAAACCTTGATTGAGACCTGGCTTTACTGCTCCTTCCTCCTTTTTTGGTTCAAGTATTTTCATTGTTTTAATAGATAAGATATCTTGAACCACAGGTTTGGTTTATGCTAGTCATTCTCTGATTCCACCTAATTTGTGGGTGTTTCTATGAAGTGTCTAACTGGCACTGTTCATGTATATAATAATCTTTATTGAGGTATAGGATTCTGATAACCATCTCCTTAGAACCAATGCTTTATGACACTGATTAAGAAATCAATAAATAATTTTTCATATATTTAAAACTATTATTTGTATTGATCATATATTTCAATAAATACATTATCTTTTGAAATTTTAAGAGGATCTAGTTAGTGGAAAATTGAGAGGAGATAAAATAAGTCCTATGGTGATAGGAACTCATTCGCTCACATAGGGTCGATTGCCGCTTGTTTAATGTACTCTATACTCTATAGTCAATTAGGAATATAATTGAAATTAGAGTTTGAACCGTAGAACTGATAGGCCATAGTTGTCGATTCAACGGATCGATTGATTTTTACTCATACACATTTTTATTGAATTTCTCTAAAACTGTCCAAACTCGAGAAACCCCGTTATAGTTTTATAGATTCTAAATTTAGATAATTGAATTAGAAGTCGATGCGATATGACTGACAGTTGTTTTCCAAACCTACATTTTTATTAACTCGTTTTTTTCCAATATTCTGAAAGAATAAACAGGAAAATGGTGAAAAGCAAAATTTTCACTCAATTTTGACTCTGTTCCAATAAACAATTGAGAAGGGTTTTGTTGGTTCATTAAGACTCTTCTCATCCTCTCCTTTTAATAGATAATTAAATACCTCCCTTTCCTTCCCTCTTTTCTCCATTAAAATCAAGCATGTCTAAAATAAGTATTAATTACTTTAAGTTTTAAATGCTTTTTGAGTTTTTAAGATTAAGTGCTTTACTGTCCATTAAATAGTTTCAATTTTAACTTACTCTATGGAGGGGTACAATTTGGTCAATCAATTTGACTTCTTTAGAACCATAGAATAAATTTGATATGGCAAGTGATTGATAATATTTTTATAAGCCTGAAAGAACATATAAAAATAAGTTATGAACATAACTTATTTTTATAAGTTGTCTTAAATTATTTTTGAAAATAACTAGTAGCTTATTAGAAAACATATAAACTTATAAATTAGTTAATACATAAATGCTTATCATGATTCATGATAAACGTTTCTGCTATAAGCTGCTGCAATTAAGTTGTTTATTTAAATAGGTCTAAATAGAACTGGTACAGTGTCTTAATCTATACCACTGAACTATTCATTCAGAGAGAGATAGATGATTTAATTTGGTCTACAAAAGATGCTTACTGGTTTTGGTCCATAAAATTCCTAGCACATGGCTCCGTAATTTACTACTTTTGGCACCAAGTGGTGCAACAATAATAATTTAATAATGTTATGCATTGTCTGCAACATATCTCCATTTATCCAAAACAAAGTAATTTGATTCCCTGATAAAAAAAAGGAAGAGAATGGTGGTGTGATTTGGCACAACAGTTACCCCATTCCTGAATGAATGAATTCCTACATAAACAACCATTCACCTATCTATCTATAAACAGGGAAAACCAGTTTTGGTTTCAGTGTAATGAGCATAGAATCTATTCCACCTTCTAGTGAAGCATAATCTTTTCTAATGTCAAAATTAAATCTTGATTTGTCTTGTCACTCTTTACCAAACTTGTGCTGTAGTTCAAAAAATTCTGTCTGATCTCCACTTAGCCAACTTGTCTTAAGATGGTCTTTATGATTTATGACAATGGACTTTTATGCCATAATCATGTGATACTAGAAGACTTGTGTCTCTTTCAAGTCATTAAATTAAATTCCTTAGGTAAGAAGGAATTAGAGACACACACACACTTTCCCATTCAAGATGCCATATTCCTTATGTGTTTCCATTTCATGTTCATCCTTTGGAGAATAGTTGTATTATTTTAGGACCGTCTTTAAGGGGGTGTAAGATGAGCTATAACACATTGTCTGTAGTTGATAATCTCTGCAACCAGGGCCGTTTGTAAAGTTGTGCAAGATAGATTATAACACAATGCTTGTAGTTGACAATTTTTACACTCAGGACCGTCTTTGAGGGCGTGTAAGATTAATTATAGCACAAGTTAAGACAATCTTGTATATGCAACCACCCAATTAGGGAAATCAACACCGTTGTATCTCTTTAGATTGACCACAATCACTGTTAAGAAATGTGGTTGAGACTAATTTATTCCTACAAAATCGGTTTGTAGGATGAGAATTGTCTGTACTTATAAAAACATGTTCTTGTTATATATTATTTGATGTGAGACTCTTAACAATCGCAATGTATCAGTCGACGATAAACGTTGAACGTTAAATAAAAGAAGTTAAAATCAAAACTATCTGATCTTCGACGTATGGTCGAGATTACAATTGCAAAAAAGTATAAAGTTGACTACATGCAATGCATTTTCCATTTTTACCAGTGGTCAAGTTCGTCCTTACAATCATTTTTTGACTGCAATATATCCAAATATGTGTCCTTTTCATTCCCAATAACTGGTTAATCTAAAACCACGTGTAATGTCTGACTTCATTTATCATGGGTTTCAGAGAAGTTCAATTATGTACTGATATACTCATAGACTAAAAAACAAGACGAAATTGATTGGTACAGAGAGTGGTGCACATTGTAAGAGAAAGCAGAACAGTGACTTTCTTTTTCTCCTCCTTATGTCTTCGAAATAATGATAAATGAACAGAAGTGCTTTTGTTCTTCTATACAGGCACAAACTCAACACACTTTGATGATACAATTTAAATGGCTGTGATTGGGAGAAAGGTAATTCTCTCTCCAATGTTTCCCATTTCCCATCTGTCTCTTCTGCATACAGCCAGGAACACCGCTTGTGGTCCCTTTCATGACAATAACACCTATCTTCATAAATATTCTTTTATATATAAATATTATATCAATGAAGATAACCTCAACAAGAGGGAAAGTAGTAATAAAAATAAAATTCATTCACTGTCCCGTTAAGCCGACTCAGTTACATGTAGTCGACAATAGTTAACAATCTTCAATATTTATATTTGCATTTCAATGACGTTTCAATGACGGTTTAATCGAGATAAAACAATTTAAATTGAAATTTAATATCGACTTCGTGAATGCGGGAAATTGTCTTACAAGCAAGTTGCCATTGGCTTACTATGCATCCATTAACTAAAATTGTTTGCATGTGATGAGCATTCAAGTAGCAATAACATAAAGGAAAAGGAAGGTGGGGCCTAAAAATTGGATGTTAGTGAAAACTTGCCATCTTTAGGCAAAGTAGTGAAGGGAATGTTTTAGGTTTTGGGTTGTTCCATTATAAAAATCCCAGACAGGAGGACTTGTGTTAGGAATGGGTTTCTATGACATGAGTTGGGAAAGAATGGAACATGCATGGTTTGGCTAGGCAAAAACCAAACATGTTTGCTTTGTCCAAAATAAGAAACAAGTAGGTAATGTTGAAAACCAAACCAACCATGTTATATTATAAATTGTTTAAATATTTCAACAATTGCCAATCACATGATTTTGTGTTTGCCCTTGTTCTTTAAAAAATCTAAAGTTCCATGGACCATGCCACAAGATAATAAATAATGATGATTATAATAATATTGATTAATATTAAATACAAAATTGTTTAGCTAATTGAATCAATTGATAAATAGTTGAATCATATTATTCAATAACTTGATTTTAACTCTAAATGTGAGTGTGAAGACTTCGTTAAAAAATAATCCGTCACTATTTAAAGCGTATAAAATTTTGATATTTATTAGTGTTTTTGTAAATATTGAGATATATCTGATATGTTTAAAGTCTTCATAATTTGAATATTTATTAGTGTTTTTGTAAATATTTAGATATATTTGATATGTTTAAACTCTTCATAATTTTGATATCTATTAATGTTTCTGTTAGCGAAATATGTCTATAGAATTTTAAAATTTATTAGTGTTTATTATATCTAAATTTTATATAATTGCTATATCTAACAGATTGAGATCTATTTTAACCTTACAAAATTTTGATATTTGCTAGTGTTTTCGTCAACATTTAGATTTGTATAAACCATACAGAATTCGATATCCGTTAGTGCTTTTGTCGGCTTTGACATCGGTCTAAACCATACAAAATTTTAATGTTTAAACAAAATTAAGATATTTTTCTTATATAATTTTTTCTTTAAAAATATCAGTAGTAATATTGTTAAGAATCTCACATAAAAAAATATATAATCTAAACATGTATTTGATAGTGAAAGAAATTTTTACTCTAAAAACCAATGATATTTATTAATGAATACAAAATTGTTTAATGAATGATTCTATCATATTATTTAACAAGTACTATATAACTAGAAGTCAACCGCTAGAGAAAAGTAAAACTTTTTAGATTAAGTTAGAAAACATAATATGATAGTGGTGTTAGAAAAGTATACTACATAAACAACTTGTTAATCACTTCCACTTCCCACTCCCAATTATATTCTAAAATTCTCTCGTTCCCATTAAAGTTCCAAAACACAGTGTTTGAAAATATTATCCATTTCCATTAAGAAACAGAAGCTAGTTAAAGCAATATTTAGTGCCATCATTATCAAACCAAACTTGTCGTCGTTTTGACGGCTTAAAATATCGTTAAAGAGAATAAATTCATTATTATTCATTCTTTCTTATCTAGATTCTTGAGTTTCACCGTCTTGAAGACAACTTTTGACTTATTTTCTAAACAAGCTTAAAAGTAAAGAAAGCTTTTAATTATCCAATATTTTAAAGATGCCATTCCTCCAAATGTTTCTTTTTTCTTACTTCTTAAAACACTAATTAAAACTATAGGTTTCATATTATTGGCTACTATAGGTCGGTTACCATGCACCTCCATAAGCATTTCTTCCGTTCAAGTTTAATCTTTCTTTGACTAATTTAAAAACAACTTTTTTTTAAATCTTTTTTATATTAATATAATTCATCGATAATAAATGTATGAAATTGAGAGTCTAACATTAGTGAAGATTATATATTTTAAAACTTAATATAAAATTTGAAAATTGGTTTAATTGTAGACACGTTTCAAAAAGGACCTTATCATTTTTCATGCATAAAAAGCCACTCTCCTTCGTTCCCTTCACTTCATATGCAACAAGCTTTCTATTCTCTTTCAAACAAAACTATCTTATACCTCTCTATCACCACATAGAGAGTCCTACATTTTTCTAACTTTTCCATTCACATTTTAATCTCTTTTTAACACTTTGAGTTTCTATACTTAGCCATGTGCAATCCAAAGCCATCTTCACCAACATCACCATTTCTTTCTCCAACAAAAACTCACACCAAAGTTGCTTATTCCAATCCTACCCTTGATGATGATCATGTTCAAGATGAGTTTCATTCTTGGCCTACTCTTAAAGAGGTAATGAAACATATCAAAAACAGAACATAACATAACATAAACAAATCAAGTTCTTTTTTCCTTAATAGTAATGATTAAGCTTAATAAAGTGCCAAGTTTGTATCTTTTTAGTGACATGAAAAAAGGGTATTGAACCAAATTTATTAATATTGATCTTAAATATAACTATTTGCTTTTTTTTTTCAGGCCTTAACAGAAATCAAAGAAATAGGAAAAATATCAGGTCCAACAACAATAACTGGTTTATTGATATATTCAAGAGCTATGATCTCAATGATTTTTCTTGGATATCTTGGTGAGATGGAGCTAGCAGGAGGTTCACTTTCAATAGGTTTTGCAAACATCACTGGCTACTCAGTGATATCAGGCTTAGCCATGGGAATGGAACCAATTTGTGGACAAGCTTATGGAGCAAAACAATGGAAGATACTTGGCTTAACACTTCAAAGAACAGTTCTTCTTCTTCTTTCAACTTCAATCCCTATCTCATTCATTTGGTCCAACATGAAAACAATCCTTTTGTTTTCAGGTCAAGACCAAGAAATTTCATCCATGGCACAAACTTTTATACTCTACTCAATACCTGATCTTTTTCTTCTATCATTTCTTCATCCTTTGAGAATCTATCTTAGGACTCAAGGAATCACATTGCCTTTGACATATTGTTCAGCTGTTTCTGTTTTGCTTCATGTGCCTCTCAATTTTCTTTTAGTTGTTTATTTCGAAATGGGGATTGCGGGGGTGTCGATAGCAATGGTTTTGACTAATTTGAACCTTGTTATTTTGTTATCATCTTTTTTGTGGTTCTCTAGAGTTTATAAAGACTCGTGGATTTCGCCGAGCTTAGAATGCGTTAAAGGGTGGTCCTCATTGCTTTCGTTGGCAATTCCTACTTGCGTTTCGGTTTGTCTCGAATGGTGGTGGTACGAGTTCATGATAATGATGTGTGGACTTTTGATTAACCCTAAAGCAACTATTGCTTCAATGGGAATACTCATTCAAACAACTTCTTTGGTTTATGTTTTTCCGTCGTCACTCAGTCTCGGAGTTTCCACAAGAATCGGGAACGAGTTAGGCGCGAATAGGCCACAAAAAGCAAGAATTTCAATGATAGTTTCACTTTTTGTTGCTATGGTTTTAGGACTAGGAGCAATGCTCTTCACAACATTGATGAGAAACCAATGGGGAAAATTCTTCACAAGTGACAAAGAAATTCTTGAACTAACATCCATTGTGTTACCAATTGTTGGACTTTGCGAGCTCGGGAATTGTCCACAAACAACGGGTTGCGGCGTTCTTCGAGGAAGCGCGAGACCGACGATCGGTGCTAACATAAACTTGGGATCTTTTTACCTCGTTGGAATGCCGGTCGCGATCTTTTTAGGATTTGTTGCTAAATTGGGATTTGCAGGGTTGTGGATTGGGTTACTTGCAGCTCAAGGCTCATGTGCTATGCTTATGTTGATTGTTCTTTGTAGAACTGATTGGAATGTGGAAGTTCAAAGAGCTAAAGAACTCACAAAAGCTTCAATAATAAAAACTACTTGTGATGATGATAATGATGGTAAATTACCTACATTTATTGAAGCTAAGATGAACAAGAATAATGTTCATGATTGTCTTGAAGAAATTGTTATCACTCATGATGAAAAAGATCCACTTATCATAACTACTACTACTACCAATTACATTGAAGATTAGTTAAATAGAGAGAGTTTCTTTTTTCTCTATTGTAACCATTTTTTTACCTTCATTTTAATGGAGTGTATTGTAGGACAAAATATTCCTCTCTCTCTTCTTTCGGTTTTATTAAGTAAATAATCATTTTAGTTCGTAAATGAAGAAAATTGTTCCTGAAATTATTTAATGTATCTAAATTATAAATATATTTTAAATTTTCTCTATCATCTGTAATAGATTAAATTGATTAACAAAATATGATTATGTATGTTTTGTATAATTTAAATGCATTTAAAGAATATTGTTACTTCTTGTGCAAGAATCACAAATGAAAAAAGTGAAAAGAGGAGAGTTTGGGAGAAGACAACTAAAGGAATATATACCTTACTTTGGTATGGATACTTTTCATAAAAAGACCAAATTACCTAAAAATGGAAAATTAACTTCCCACTCTATAAAAAATAAATTATCTATCTGAGTATTTTATTCTTCATGTTCTCTCTCCTCTCTGTTTTTGTTCTATAATAACAAAGCACATGTAATGATGTAACATATAGGGATGTGCATGAAAAATCTTCTGTTATAATACCCTTTCAAACTAAGTAATTTGAAAAAAAGAAAGAATCATTTGGTCATTGAATATGTTGGAATTACACAAATTTCAATGTTTTTATGTTGTTTTTCTAAAACTAAATAATAGAGGAGGAACTGCCTTTAAAAACTTCAATGCTGCTTTTATGTTGTTTCCCAACTTGACAAACCACAAAGAAATTCAACTCTACCCTACTATCCTTACCCAAAACAAACAATATATATATATATATATATATATATATATATATATATATATATATATATATATATATATATATATATATATATATATATATATATATATATATATATATATATATATATATATATATATATATATATATATATATATATATATATATATATATATATATATATATAGGAGCATATCAAGTGAGAGGAATTTTAAAATGAGAGATGAGAGGAACAAACAACAACTATTAGATCATGATTAAACTTATTTATTAATGTGACTATTAATTTCTCTCTCTTATTAACTCGAATTTCAAATCTCAAAAACTCAAACTGTTAATTCTGTTACAAATTCATCTTACTTTGGACTTATATACACTCACTCAAATTCATCTTACTTTGAGTTTATATACATCCACATAAAGACAGAGTAGAATCACATTGTCATCAAAAGCGCGCACACACACACGCACACACACACACACACACACACACGCACACACGCACACACGCACACACGCACACACGCACACACACGCACGCACGCACGCACGCACGCACGCACGCACGCACGCACACACACACACACACACACACACACACACACACACACACACACACACACACACACACACAGACACACACACACACACACACACACACACACACACACACACACACACACACACACACACACACACACACACACACACACACACACACACACACACACACACACACACACACACCATATTCCATTTCACATTTCTTGAATCCCAGATGCTTGAGAAATGAATTAATTTTTAGAGTTCAAGCACTTGGAGCTTGTTTCATCCCGTACAAGGCTTAGTGCAACTTATACATCATCTTTTCTTTGTTATTTTTCACAAATTCAAGAGATTGTATCACATAAACTTCTTCTTACAATGGACCATTCAGAAAAGCTGACTTTACATCTAAATGTATCAAAGATAATTCCTATTTGTAGCTATAGTAATAACCAACCTTATGGTTTTATGTCTAGCTGCAGGTGCAAACACTTCAAAGTAGTCTAAACCATTTTTTTTGTAGGAATCCTCTAGCTACTAACCTTGATTTATGCTTAGCAACTAAATCATCTGGCTTCATCTTTATCTTGAAAACCCATGTCACACTGATGAATTTCTTGTTCTGAGGTAGAATAGTAAACTCATATGTCTTGTTTCTTTCAATGGCTCTTCCTTTATAGCGTTCACCCACACATTCTTCTTGAGAGCCTCATTACTGCTGTCAGGTTCAAAATCCACCATGGTGGCACTATGCACGACTTCCTATTCAGACTCAAACTCAGTATCTTGTAACAAATCAAAGTCTACAAGTCTCCTTTGTATATATTTAACTTTATGTGGTATCTGGAGCTATGCAAGTTCACCTTCAAAAACTAGATCACATTCAAAAGATGGATCACCTTTAGAGTCAGATCCACCATCAGATTCAGATCCACCTTCAGAGTTAGTCTCACCTTTAGAGTCAAAGTCATCTTCAGATTCAAACTCTTCTTTAGAGTCAGGATCACCTTCAGAGGTAGAATCTCCTTCAGAGAAAGAATCAAACTCTAGAGTTAACACTACACTAGAGTTGGATTGAGACTTGCTCCAATCTCATATTTATGATTCTTTCACTATGACATCTTTGCTGACTTCAACTTTGTTGGTGACTGGGAAATAGAGCTATTAAGCACCTGTATAATGGTAACCTATAAGCATTATGACTTTGCTTATGTCATCCAATTTCTTTCTAGTATTATTTGGTATATGTTTGTAACATAGAAAACCAAACACCTTGAAATGGATGACATATTGCTTTCTTCTAGTACACTTCTCAATAGGAACTACTTCTTTTAACTTCTTTATTGAACGTATGTTGAGCACATATGATGTGGCAATTGCTTCACCCCACATGGTGTGAGGTAGATTCTTCTTTTTCAACATGCTTTTTGTCATGTCAAGCTAGGTTCTATTTCTCCTTTAAGCAACACCATTATGCTTTAGAGTGTATGAAGCAGTCGCCTCATGCTCAATACCATATTCCTCGCAGAACTTCTTGAAGTCTGTTGAGTTGAACTCACCTCCACCATCGGTTCTAGGGATCTTCAATCTTTGTCCACTTTTAGTTCAGCTTTCACTTTGAACTTCTTGAACTCAGCAAACACCTCATGTTTGAACTTAACGAGTACCACCCATGTCATTCTTGTGAGCTCATCCACAAACGATACCAAGTACTTGTTCCATCCTAAGTAAAGGTAACTCAAAAGGCCCACATACATTAGAATGCACCACACCCAAAGCATGAATTGCTCTTGGAGGAATTTCTAATGAGCATGACAATCTTGGTTGCTTTCCTCTCATGCATATATCACATGATTTCTCTGGTGCTATAATCTTAGAAATTCCATGTATCAGATTCTTTGAACTTAGATGCCCTGAGCTTTTGTAGTTCAGATTCTCTAATATCTTGTCCCACAACTGACTTTCCCCTTGAACACTTCTTGCACTATAGCATTGAGTGCATGTTATTGCAACATTCACTTTGAATGTCTTGTTTCTTCCCTGTTCAGACTGCATAATCAACTTCTGATTATAGTCATACAACTTCAAGAGATGATCCTTCATGGTCATTAAAAATCCCTTTTCAACCAGCTGACCTACACTCATTAAATTTCTATTCATGTCAGGAACATACCATACATCCTTAATCAATACCATTTTGCCATTGTTCAAGTTCACTTTGACATTTCCCATTCTTTTAGCAATTAGATACTCATCATCAACATATCTGATCTTGGTCCTTTTACTAGAGTCAAAATCAACCAACCATTGCTTGTTTCCAGTTAGGTGATTTGAGCAACCAATGTCCATATACCATCAGTCTATCACTGCTTCACCTACGCTCTCAGATGCCATCAATAGAATAAGTTCATCATTAGAATATCCTTTGGCTATGTTGGATTCTTCACCTTTCCTAACCTTGTTTGACAAGCAATCAGTAGCAAAATACCCAAACTTGTTGCAAATGTAGCATTGAACCTTCCTCTTATCAAACTTCTCCCTTCCCTTTCAAACATTTTATGTTTATACTCTTCAGAGTTGGATAGTTCTGACTTATGAACACCACCACCATACTTTTTCTTTTCCTCTATCCATGCTTGCTTCTAGTTCTTCTTGACAAAAGAAGCTTTCAGAGTCTGTACTGACTCCCTTTTAGAGTTTCTTTTAGTCAAGCGCAACTCCTGTGTCTCTAAACTACTCTGAAACTCTTCAATTCTTATGGTGTTGGTGTCTTTAGAATGTTCTATGGCTACAACTATGTAATTAAACTGAGGAGTGAGTGATTTCAGTACTTTTTCAATGCTTACTTGTTCAGAGAGCGTTTTCTATAAGACTTCATCTCATTCGTGACCAAAATCACTATGTAGATGTAATTAGGCACCTTTTCATTGCTCTTCATGCTGAGATTCTCGCTTACGTAGAGATTGCAACTTTACTTTCTTCACTGATGCGTCACCACCATAGCACCACACCAGTGTGTCCCACGTTGTAACACCCCGTTTAAATATTAAGTCATTTTGTGATTTTATGTGTGTAGTTATGTTGACATTAGCTTAGTTAAGGGTATATATATAAGGGTGAGTGTGAGAACTTAGTGTAATTAGTACTTGGACTAAGACCTTAGAATAATATTATAATAATATAATTGGTGATAAAATATTTCATAATAATTATTATTAATGTTATTAACAATAATATTAATATTATTAGCACTATTATTATTATTATTAAAATTAAGAAAAATAAATATAATTAGGGAGAAGTGGTAAAGGGAGTTACAAATATAGTTTCACGTAAAAAGAGAAAGAGAGAAGAAAGCAAAGCTAGGGCAAGAAGAGACCAAGAATTCTCCACCATTGTTAGAGAGATCAAGCTTGGAATTAAGGTAAGGAGGGATAATGAGTTCTTTAATGGTGATCAGAACATGAGAGGGTAGCGAGGGTTCCTTTTCCTCTTAGGGTTTTATGTATATTTTTCTTTCTTTTTGTTTGATTCCCATAACTGTGTGATTATGATTGTGAATTTGTATTTGTGTACTGATATGGATGTGAATTTCGTGTAAATTATGTATTGTTGTTGTGTTTTACCATGAAAATAGATCTGCAAAAATATGAGTTTCGGGAGATGACGAAATCATGGTTTAAATTG